AATGAAAATGTATTCTGTGTTGGTCCCATATGTTGTGAGAACTCAGTTTCTCACTTTTTTGGCCGGCGACTGCGTGCATGTGTTGGCCCCAGTTCTGACAGGTTTTGGTTTTTTCTCTGACGACCACTTTACTGCTCAGAGTAACAATGAAAGACTACGCAACCTCAGACCTAACTTATTCTGACATTTCTCGATGCATGAATGCACATGAGAGCATTTTTTACAGTGGTAACAAGAAACACAAACACTGCAAGGACTCTGCAGTGAAACCAGATTAAAGAACTGTTTCCCAAAGAAGCTAATTTCTAAAAATGCCAGGATTATGGAATCATCTCCATAGCAGAGAAATACAGTATTTCATCCAGGGAGCGCAGGCTTTAAAGCGTGGATTTAAACTGATGGCACTTCACTTTCACAAGAGTTATTTTTTTAGGTTTTTTCACAGCCACCATATTTCTCTTACTCACAAAGTTGTGTGTTCATGCCAGCCACCATATTTCTCTTACTCACAAAGCTCATGCTTTGGAACAACTGAAACCCATTAAGTTCCACCAAGTCCTACTGTATAAACATCACATCACTGGCCATCGTTCTGTGCTCTTCATCTCCAATTATCCCTTCCTTCCTCAGGTGTCCAACCACGGCAGCTGGAGTTCCTGGGGTTCTTGGGGTTCCTGCTCCAGAACCTGTGGAGGTGGCGTTCAGTTCGCTCAGCGTTTGTGCAACAACCCACCGCCAAGGAACAACGGACGCTATTGTACAGGGAAAAGAGCCATCTATCGCTCCTGCAGTGTCACACCCTGTCCACCATCAAGTGAGCGTCAAAAAGAACTCTTCTAAATATTTTAATAATCCAATTTAAATGTGTTTCTGAAAGATGTTTCCACCACATCTCAGTACTAGGACCTTTATGCTAATCAGGCAAATGATGTATGAAAAACAAGCCCATAAAAAGTTCCTTGTGTCATTTCGGTGCCACCACAGGGCTATGCATATACAAACAATGACTCCAAAACACAGCAGGCACAAATAAATCATTATGAGTCATGCTGGTGATATTTCTCCCTGAAGCTGAAGCCTGTTCCCAGCTGACCCAGGAACAGTTTTCACATTCTGATAAATAAGAGAGATGATAAATGACGAACGTCATCTCGTATAAAATATTAAGATATAACAGAACCACAGGGACACAAATACAAAAAACAATGCACAAATCAGTACACGTCTTCTGTACAGACACATTCTAGGAAACAAAGCTATAGCCAAAAATATTTGTGATTGAAAATACTCCACAATTCATCCAAACCGGTGTAAAATCTTATTAAATACAACTTTTTTCCCCAGATAAAACCTTTCGTCAGGAGCAGTGTGAAGTGCGCAACGGTCCTCAGACTGATCCCAAAGGAGTGAAGACCTTCGTTGAGTGGGTTCCCAAATATGCAGGAGTCCTGCCCAAAGATACTTGTAAGCTGACGTGCAGAGCCAAGGGAACGGGATATTATGTGGTTTTCTCTCAGAGGGTGAGTGGGTCCAAAAAATATGTTACCAAATACATCACAGCAACAACAGATTTATGTTGTTGAGAGACTCGACGTTCATGTTTTCAGGTGGTGGACGGGACAGAGTGTCGTCCCCACAGCAGCTCGGTGTGTGTGAAGGGCAAGTGTGTGAGAACGGGCTGTGACGGCATCATCGGCTCCAGGCTGCAGTTTGATAAGTGTGGTATATGCGGAGGAGACAGTACAGGGTGTGTCAGAGTGATGGGCAACTTCACAAAGAAGAGGTGAGAACAACTCCTTTCCTCATGAATGGTCCTAGAAATGACTTGCAGTGAATTAAGTGACCAAATGAAACCTTTTTACTATTAAGATTACTGATTAGCCATATAATAAAATTCAAGTTATAATATTTAAGCCTAAATTGGGATAGTGGTTACAAGAAACTTGCTATGCTGTAAGTACTTTTTAAGACATTGTTTTGTTTGTTTTTTCACATCACTTTCTTCTGACATGACTTACCTTAAATTCTTTACAGGGTGATGATTGGAAAAAATTGTATAATGCTAAAAATGATAATTATGAATCTAAAGAACAGCCCTTTGGTGTTACCAAGACTTTGAATGAAGGGTAAAACTTTTTAAACCAAAGGAGTACTCTGAATTAGAAGACTGAAATCTGATTGGTTTGGCTCACACCCCTCTAGTCCAGTGGAGCATTACAATGTTGGTTTAACCTTCACCCCTTGGATTGTTTCCCTGCATGAAGGAACAAATTATTAGCTTACATGAAATGTGACACTAGCTGGTCTTAATTTGGCAAAAATGATGTAAACCTCACCGTTTAAGCTGATTTAATTTAATTTATTTTTAATGACATCACTTTAATTTAATAAACTACATTTTATAAACCCCAAACTATTATTCAGTCTCTGTGACTCTGTGACTTTAATAGTAACCAGAAATGCTTCTTTTAAATTCCACATTTAGTGACATACTGATGTGACTTACTCTCCCCCAACAGTAAAGGCTACACTGACGTGGTGAAGATCCCTCCTGGCTCCACCCACATCAAGATCCGTCAATACAAGGCCAAGGACCAGACACGCTACAGTGCCTACCTGGCACTGCGCCGGCCCAGTGGAGAGTACCTCCTCAACGGCAAGTTCATGATCGCCACCTCCGAGACTGTCATCCCTCTCAATGGCACAGTGCTCAACTACAGTGGTTGGAGCCAAAGGGATGAGTGGCTCCACAGCATGGGCCCCGGGCCCCTTCAGGAGGGTCTAGTGGTTCAGATTCTAGCAACAGATGCCAAAAAGCCTCTGGATGTCCGTTACAGCTTCTTCATGCCTCGCCGCATACCTGCGCAGCAGCCATCACCTCCACTGGTCGCCAATCAAAAGACAACCACCTCACACAGCACCACCACAGTCTCCACCACAACCAAATCCACCTCCACAACCAGAACCACCAGCACCATCACCACCAGTAGCACCACTACAGCCTCCGCTACCCCTCCTTCCCTGATCCTGGGACCAACTACAGCTTTAATTCCCTCGACGCCAACACCTGGTCCTCAGTGGGTAACCGGTCAATGGATGACCTGCTCCAGGACTTGTGACACAGGCTGGCAGAGTCGAACAGTGCAGTGTAAGGACCGGGACGGGAAACTGTCCAAGGGATGCATGTTGAACACTCGTCCATCCGCCTTCAGACAATGTCTGACGAAAAAATGCTGAGTAGCCAAGACGAAGGGAGGAAATTCCGAAGATGTTGCAAACTGTACTCCCGAAAGAGCCGACCATGTGACCAGCAATTGGACCTCTGAATGAAGGACAAATTGGACTGTAATTGTTAGTGCCTAGAGCGGTCATTACGGACTCTCATGCGTGTCGGCATGGGTGTATCTGACTGTATCCCAGAGAATGTTCTGGAATCACCGTAGCTGCACAGAGCACAGTTTCCATTGATTTCCAGGATTAACTAAGAACTGGAGCTGCATGCCATTTCCACTTGACAAAGACTGATTGTCTTCATGATGGCATCCAAGTGCTGGAGCCCTAGTGTGTAACAGCATGCGTGCAGTGTGTCCTTTTTTATGGTGTTTGTGTGTGTTCTTGTCACTGTGGGTATTTTACAGTGGTACCCTGTAGTTTTCTGTTATGAATGTGTCCAGGACAAGAGCCCTTGCTGCATCGTCCCTAACTGTTTTTGGTCACATGTTTCCTGCGTAGCACAAAAAGATGAGTTACGGGAAGATTTTTTTAAGAATGTGAAATCACTGGAAAGTTGACAACTATTGTAGCAGCCTTCGTAGCAACTACCCAAAAACCCCAACACAGATCGAAGCGTCAGGATTTCAAACAAATAATCTCCCTTCAGTCGTTGCTCTAAGCTTCTCTGATACTGAATGTTCAAGATATAGTTTTATCTTTTGGAACACAGTATTTCAGCAAGCTGTGGTGATTATGTCACAGATTTTATATGAAAAATAAAGGATTTATACCATTTCCCTTAAAAGTGCTTAAAAAAATTGGTCTTCAATTGGCCATTGGTCTTCGAAAATAAAAGCATTTCTGCCTGTGGTCACAGCTTCATTGTGAGGCTCTGTTTGAAGGCAATCATTTTAAAATGAGTTGTGTTTGTGGTGCTTCAAACTTAGAACTCTTGCTCGGAGCAATTTTTTTCAAGAAAACTAGTAAAAGGTTTGGCAGTACAAGTTACATTAAGATTATGCAAATCAGCCCTGACACATTTCTAAAAACAGATTCTGTATATACAGTATATATAGGTATATACTGTATGTAAGAGTATGCTGGCCTCAACAGAACAAAACTTCCAAAGCAAGTCTGACCAGGGGACAAAGTGACAATGACACTCCTCATTTTTGGAGAAACAAATCCAGTTTAGGGCAAAGCTTGATATTTTTGTTTGTGTGATTGGACAGTTTGTACGGTGAACATGTGTTATTCACTCTCAGTTCTGCTTGTATTTAATCATGATGCTGGTGCTGAGAGGTTCCATGTCTCAGTGTCTTATATTTTTCATTGTTGATGTGGTGGTGGTGTCTGTTTACCTGAATTAATGCTAATACGACAATGTGTGCCCTGGATACTCGCAACAACAAGAGACACAAAGGCAATCACTACTGTCCCTCTGCAGTTCAACTCTTTTATTGCTCTTCTTTGTTATGAAGCTCAGAGGTTTAAGTATGAGAAAACATTACCATACCATTTTTTCATTTTAGCCAAAGTTGCTGATGGGTGAAGTACCAGAATGTTTGATGTTGTTACATCTGAGTAATGATGTGTGAGTTAGACGCTGCAAAAAAAAGAAAGAAAAGAAAACAGGAAAGTTTTTTTGTGGACATTTTTTTATTCCATTATATTGTCAGTGGAAACCACCAACTGAAAGCACATGGCTTAGCATGAAGACTTGCAGAGATGGCTAAGTAAGCTAAAGCTACTCAGACAAAACAACACAATCAGTGTCTTAATTTGGTTATCTACTTATTATTCACTTGATGGATTTCTGTAAGAGTTTTAACTTTTTTTGTGCATGTTGTGTTTTCCTCCATGGCAAACCTCATCCATCTGGCACCAGTACAGCACAAGACAAACAGGGTCAACAAACCACTGACACAACGTTGACACTTGAGTCAACTTTACATATATTTGTTAGACTTTTCTCAGAGCAGTAAACTTACAGACACACAATATTAAAACATCCATCAGTCTGATCAGTTTTTCCAAGTATATCAGACCCACACACTGTCATACACGTAAACACAACACTCTTGGACCTTTCCAGTGGCAAAACTCTTCTCGACCAGACGACAGAAACACAGCACTGAACTTGTAATTTATTGTTTGTACAACTGGTATATTTGTGAATTTAAAGAAACAAAATAAAAGAAGCAATGAGAGGAGTTTTATTTATTATACTAATTTTTGTATCAGATTACTATTTAACTTGGGACATTGACTGTGCAGAAACATTCCATTGTAAGAATTTAGTGTTTTGTTTTTCTTTTCTTGTCATCCAGGTGAATATATGTACATAAAATCTATATTTGAAAATGTGTGTCTCTGTGTCATTTTTCTTTACTATGCATTGGTTTCAAATCAATGATAAAGTTGTTGTTTAAAGAACACCCCTTACTATGATGTTAACCCTTTTTAAACATCAGATGAGACCAGTGTTAACCTAAATAAGCTCATTTATAACCCATCCATCCATCCATCCATCCATCCATCCATTTTCATCCGCTTATCCGTTACCGGGTCGCGGGGGCAGCAGTCGCCACCCAAATCACACTGCACCGTACCAACCCCCCAAACCTTCCTGCGGGTGGTGAGTCCACTGGAAGGTATTAACCGCCACACCAATGACAGAGACATTGCCTCTGGGCCAAAGCGCCACTCATTTATAACCACTTACTAAAAATCTCACCTGCGAAGTTTAATGCAGGGTTCGTATGTCTTGGAAAAAAAATCTGGAAATGATAAAAAAAAAAGTAATTTTCAGGCCTGGACAAGTCTTGGAAACTAAGTTCACATCAAAAGTTATGGAAAAATCGTGGCTTTTTTTCACTTATTGATAACAGTAATAGCAACCTCTAATGTTGATTTAAAATTGTTCAACAGAAATTTCGTTTCTAAAAATCTCGCGCGTCGATTGGCCACTGTTCTGGTTAGGTCACGTGACGTTCGTAGCAAGGTGCAGATCAGATGACGAGATAATAAGCTAACAACAACCCGTAACACTGCCGGGAATGTTCTACTTGAAAAATATGTTGCTGCACACAAATAAGGATAAATCATGACCGGAGAAGACAAAGGAAAAAGGCGAAGCCAAATGTGCCGTATGCAACAAGACGTTTGATATCTCTAAAGTCAGAGAGGCGCCATTAACTAGCCATGCTAAAGGGGCAAAGCGTCAGGCTTCAACGGTTGCCCGCGAATCAAGCGCTATCACGGGCTTAAGACTCCAAACAAAACCCTGAGACGGCTACTGTGATACCGACTGTTTGTCTAAAGGTAGATAATGTACATTTTTCATATAACTCATGTGGAAACGTAAGCAATATGGTGGGGTATCTTATTTTGCACTTTTGTTGTAAAGTTTGTGTACTTTAAATTCTAAGTTTGTGCACTTTAGTATGACGTTTTATTATTAAATTATTATTGGGTACCTTCATTTGCATATTCATTTTTCAGACCTTTTTACCTCCGAAGCATTTATGCCTTGTGAATTTATTCCAAAACATAATTAAATACCTTATCTATGTCAGTGTTGGTTCAAACCAGACATGTCCACACTATTCCACAAAAAGTCGAGTGGGTGTAGGTTTTTGTTTTTCCACTGACACAGCAGCACACCAGACTTGACACATTTAATCAACTGATCTTAGTCTTCAGACAGCTAATTGGTCGAACTGTGTTCTCCTGGTTGGTTGGAACAGAAACTACAGCCACACAGCCCTTTAAGGAATCAGTTTAGACCTCCCTGCTTTAAACATACAGTATGTTTTTGTATAAAACTATAATTGTGATTAGGCCTATTTTTGAAACATTTCCACTGTGGTAATTTTTTAAGTATTTTTATTCCTGTATTTCATATTTGTATAGCAATAGAAAGTTGCTGCTAAGTCATGGAAATGTGTTGGTTAAAATGTGTACAAACCCTGTTAACGATAACACATGGATCGTTTTTCATCTTTACATTCTAATAAGATTATCACCATTTAATTACCATTACACATCATCTACAGTAATGAACAAATATGAGACAATGTGTCCATAAACTTAAGTGTAGTAAAAAAATCTAAACTCCTCAAAGGATGAACATGTGAACCTGTACAAAAAAGATTTTTATTTTGGATGAACATGTGAACCTGTACAAAAAATGGGACCAAAGATTTTTCTTTCTGGTTTTTAGAAAGATCAAACGTCTGTGTTTTAGATTATTTAAAATTCTGAGTGAAATCAGTGATGTATCCACGTACAGTACAACCTGTAATACTGTCAACAGATACACATCTATAGGGTATTTTTTCAGCATATAATTATTTTTATTTGAACCACTTTAATATAATATAATCTCATGGTGAATTCGGTTAACAACAACGTGGTTATCAATTAATTTACCCGCATTAGCCCTAAACTGTGTTCATATTTGTGCTGATGCTGCCCCCTTGCGGTGTATCTTGTCTTTCCCTGTTAGTTAGCGCAAATTTAAATCTGATATAAAGGCGCCACCCTACGGATTGTTCATGCATAATTCCAGCAGGGCCCTGAAAAACCTCTGCGGTTCAAGCCTACCACCTTGTGGAGAAGTACTGAATTACTGCCCGGCTGTTTGGCGCCTTGTTGCATTTAAGGAGGACTTAGAAGAATCTGCGTCAGCGATGGTGTTTTTCCTGTGAGTCACAATCAGTCAACGATGCCAGTAAATACAATACAAGTGTTTTACGAGTGTGATTAACAATTAGAACAAATGTACCTCATTCATCAGTGACGTAGATGTGATGATGAATGTAGTATACGTTTTAAATGAAATTGTGTTGTTTTTCATCTCATGATATTCATCTTTAACCACCTTTATACCAGTTTTGGGAGATTTTCCCTCCCTATTTCTACTGTTCTGAAGCAAGTGTGGTTTAATTTGACTTTTTGATAACAACAGGATTTCTGCCGCCTCTTATTTCTGTCTGTTTGAGTCTCTAGGTCTAAACCCCTGCCTGCTCCAGAAGGAGAGGACGCTGTAGGAGCACACAGGAGGACGGGGGCTCCTCCTGCCTTGGTGTGAGCGCTGAGGTTTCTCCTCGGAGGATCCGCTCCACCTTAAGACCTCAGTGGCCCCTCAATGCTCCTTTCCACCCGGGGAGAGAGGAGCGGTGGATACCGGCCACAGCGCACCACAGCCGGCTTGGCACAGAGGAGACGCAGGGGGAAAAGGGAGAGGAGGAGATGTGTATGGCTCCAGGAGCCCACGGCCACTGTGACACAACCACACAGCACCACAGCAGCCACTAGAGGCTAGAAATAACCAGAATAAACCCCATTAGGTTATAAAGTGGAGCACAGCCTTAGTGCCAAAGTTGAAGCTTTAATTTTGTTAAAATGAAAATCTATAATTAAATTTAACGTTGATGACTGACACTAATCATCATGTGATGGATGAGTAAAGTTTCTACTGTAAAAAGTTCTCAGTTCTCCACAGACCTCCCTTGTGTATACTTTGAGTGGTGATTATTATGGCAACGCTCCAGGTCGCTGTTGCGTTTTCATTGCGCACGGGGTTTGGCCCCTCTTACATCAAAGGCCCCTCAGAAAAGGGGTGGACCCGGGGCAGGGGCATATAAGGGAGGCACGGCTCGGGTGTTAGAGCAGAGAAAGACACAACTTCAGGCACGGGCCAGCAGAGCAAACAAACGCCTGCCCCGAACTCCAAGCAGACAGAGACCGAAACATCTGCTGACTTTTGCAGAGACCTGTTGGATTTTACTGCTGAGACCCAGCCCCTGTTCTCATCTACTGAAAGGACTTTTTTTTAAATAAAAACTAATTATTGCAACAAGTCCGATCTGCACCTAACTTTAAACTTTTGCACTGGATTTGACCCATCTTTTGATTTTAAGCGTGTGGACAATTTTAAAGACTTGGGTTTTGTAGGTTTTAGGGTGGAGAGTAAAACAGTCCTTTATACGGATTTTACTTGGACTAAATTGTGCGTTTTCTTTCCTTTTCCACGGATTTCACGGTTAAATCATGTGGTTTTCCATTGGGTTAATCCTGTGCGTCAGCGCGGTTGTGCAGGGCGCATGGGAAGAGAGCACCGTGGTGCCGGTCAGATTGGACCCGCTGGTTCGGTTTGAGAGCAGAACAGAGCAGTGGCGGACCGTGTCTCCAGAGGAGGAAGAGAAGGTGGCGCAGATGAGGGTGTACCGGTTGGATGTATTCGGCTCCGAGTTTCTGCTGCAGCTAGAACCCGACCAGACCTTCCTGGCGCCGGGTTTCGTCTTCCACGTTGTGGGGACTCCCGAACCCACCGAGGAACCAAAGAGCGGAGCCGAACCGAGCTGCTTCTACTCCGGCACGGTGAACGGAGAGGAGAACTCTGCGGCTGCGCTCAACCTGTGCGACGGCCTTGCGGGCGGATTCTACTATCAGGGTGAAGAGTACTTCATCCAGCCCCTTAACTCCACCGGTGAGGAGGAGGAGCAGGAGCAGAAGGAGATGGAGGTGCACAGGATCCGCCGGAGAGGTCGGCAGACTTTTGCCGAAGAGGGGAGCTCCAAGTGTGGGGTCAATGAGGACGAGGCGCGGGTGCCAAAGAATCTGGAGAAAGAAGCGCCGCGCAAAGGAGCAGAGTCACAGCAGACAGGTGAGAATGAAAAACTCCGCCTGGTTATAAACCGAAATCTCAGACCTGCTCACTTTAGAATGAACATGGGCGTGAGCAGAAGTTTCAGGGACAGGGCTCAAGTTGGTTATACTGGCCATCCTCTTAAAAAAAGAAAAAAAAAAAAAAAGAAAATCACAAAGGGAAAAAAATGCCGACTTTTTCAACAAAATGGTTAGTAAAAAACGAAAAAAAAGCAGAAGATAATTTCCACTGAGGTCAAACTCAAAGCTTATCCAAGAATATTATCTCTTGAAACTAAAACTTTTGAGATTGAGGGAGCAGCAAATTTTGTAAAGGTCTTCTTGTAGATCCCGAATCATACAAACATTACTGACATTTCATCATTTATATAATTGGATCACCTGCAAATTTTTACATATTTTACAATGAATTTAGACTAACTATTAAATCTTAGAGCATTTTTTTCAATGATGATTCAATTTCCACCCAATCATCTCTTGGTAGTAATGACAGAGAAAACTAAAACTCCAAATGACTTTTCCTGTCATAATATATAATAAACATGTTTTATTTAGGACATCATCTGTCCTAAATAAAACAAAGTAACTTTAGATAAAATCTTTAGCCAATCTTTAGCCACAGCTAATAAAATCCAGGTTTAGAAGGGCTTGCTGATTTCTTGATAGACATTACTTTGCACCTGTATGACTTTGAAAACTCTGAGAAGCTTTAACTGATTAACTGGCGTTCAGTCTGTGGATCAAACTGCAGTCAGCTGGAGCTGTTCATGTGCCAGGATGTGCTGTGTGTGGAATGGACTCAGCTACCTTTTTGACAGCAGGGAAGGGAAAGAAAAGAGGAGGGAGAATGAGGAAAGAGGAGGGGTGAAGGGAAGTCTATTAGGGACTGGAGGAGGTGTGACCGAGGAAGGGGAGGGGGAGCAGTGAAGTTGGAGCCAGCCAGGGCCCGGCGGTGCTGAGACGTGTAAACGCCCCTCCTGGTACGTCTTGAGCTTCTTTTTTTTCCTTCCTCCAGGAAGGATTTTCTCCCATTTTTCCCACCAGAGAGGGTCATTTTAGGAATGTGGAGAAGGAGGAGGAGCAGCTGTCGGTGGTATGACGCTGAGTCATGGCAGCCACCTCTTGCAGGCACATCTGGAGTCTGTACTCCTAGGAAAAATGGGAGAAAAAATGAACTTTTATTGAGAACAGAGGCAGAGTTTTACTTTGTGCAGTGGCCTCCTGTCAAAGTTAACTATTTATTCCAGGGGAAAATTTCAGATCAGAATTTCCTGTTTAGTCCATATTCAGTTTTGAATATAACCTGACATGCATGTAACTTCTGCATGTCTTATTGAATTTGTCCCATGAATACTTTCTGATCATTCTGTAATGGCAAACCTTGAGGGTCACTGCTAATACACCTTAGTGCCTTAATGCAGGAGAACACAGACCTGACCCTTGAACCATCCTAACCAACCCTCTCTTCATCCCAGGTCACCACAGAACCAGACGCTTTGTGTCCACGCCTCGCTACCTGGAGATCATGCTGGTAGCGGACCAATCCATGGCTGAGTTCCACGGTGCTGGCCTCAAACCCTACCTGCTGACCATAATGGCGGTGGCATCGCGCCTCTACCGCCACCCTAGCATCCACAACTCCATCAGCCTGGCAGTAGTGAAGCTGCTGGTGGTGTATGAAGAGGAGCGAGGCCCTCAGGTGTCATCCAACGCCGCCATGACTCTGCGCAATTTCTGCCAGTGGCAACGGCAGCACAACCCGCCCAGTGACCGACACCCAGAGCACTATGACACCGCCGTGCTCTTCACTAGAACGGTAAGACCAGCATCTCTAGATAAGTGACTGGTGTTAGTTCATTAGCATTCAGATGTTAATTTTTCTCTCTCTGCCTCTGCAGGACCTGTGTGGGGGACACTCTTGTGACACCCTGGGGATGGCGGATGTTGGCACCGTGTGTGACCCTGAGAGAAGTTGCTCCATTATTGAGGATGATGGACTTCAAGCAGCATTTACTGTGGCTCACGAACTGGGTAAGTGTGGGAAGAAAATGTAAAAGTCTAGTAGAAATACCAGTATTTTTATCTTATGCAGACACAGGAACTTGTCAACTGGGAAATTTAGATCTAACACAAAATTCAACTCCTTTAAACTTACTGATAGAAGCATAAGTGGATCAACCACTCCTTGCTTATTATGGACTTATTATGGACTTCTTTATTAGTAGGATAGAAAGAGTAAACAATTCAAAAATATGTTTTCCCATTTTCAATTTTCACAATCTAGTTCTGGTACAATCTGGTACAAAAAATTTAATCAAATCAAAATAGAAATCATTAGAACTTATTGGAACCTCATCTAAAAATGCTCAGATATAACTTTAAATGACTTTTAAAGTGGTATTAAACTGTAATGTCCTCTCTGTCCTGCAGGCCATGTTTTCAACATGCCTCACGATGATGCTCAGCTATGCTCAGGGGTCAACGGGGCCCACTGGGGCTCTCACATGATGGCCTCCACTCTGTCCAACCTGGACCAGCAGCAGCCGTGGTCTCCTTGCTCTGCCCTCATGATCACCACCTTCCTGGACAATGGTCATGGTCAGTGTCTTCTGGATAAACCGGTCAAACCTCAGACCCTGCCCCAGCCACTGCCCGGGTCAGTGTATGACGCTGACCATCAGTGCAGACTCACCTTTGGTGATGAGTCCCAGCATTGCCCCGACCTGAGCACCACCTGCGCTGCTCTGTGGTGCACAGTGACCACCACCAACGGTTTGCTGGTCTGCCAGACCAAGAACTTTCCCTGGGCTGATGGAACACCATGTGGACATGAGAGCACCTGCCTAGCTGGACAGTGTCTCACCAAGAGCCAAGCTGCCAAACATCAGGTAGGTGTCCTCTTCAACAAGTAGCAGGAGTCAACAGTGAGTAGTGTCTCAGTCTGGGTTCAGCCATGCTCAAGCTTTTATGTCTGGTGCTTTCAGACTCCTGTCAACGGTGGTTGGGGTATGTGGGGGCCCTGGGGCGACTGCTCACGGACCTGTGGGGGAGGAGTGCAGTATTCCTTCCGCTCCTGTGACAACCCTTTGCCCAAAAATGGGGGCAAGTATTGCGAGGGCAAAAGGATCCAGTACCGATCCTGTAACACTGAGGCCTGTCCTGATAACAACGGTGAGAAAAATACTATTGATTGTGGATTTTGGTTTTTACTTGGTGAAGTGAAAGTTAAATGAGCTTTTTCTCTCCCTCAGGCTTGTCTTTTCGTGAAGAGCAATGCCTGGCTCACAATGACATGTCAGCCCAGGTGTCCCTGGGTTCTGGAGAGGGTGTTGAGTGGGTGCCCAAGTATGCTGGAGTCTCACCCAGAGATCGCTGCAAGCTGGTTTGCCGGGCCAAGGGAACTGGATACTTCTTTGTCCTCAAATCTAAGGTGAGAGCTACAAAAATGGATTTTCAAGTATTAGTTCAAAAGTATTTTAAAAGTTCAAAAGTGTCTTCACTTGTGTGAACCTGCACCAGGATCAGCCACTGTTTCTACTTTTAAGCCCTGAGGTTAAACTCTCGAAAGAGAAAAAGACACATTTGCTGTTGGGTCTGGACACTTACGTAACTGTTTTGGAGTCGACCTGACCTATATTTGTTTTACTTTGCTGCCCCCAGGTGGCGGATGGAACACCGTGCAGCCCAGACTCCACCTCCGTCTGTGTCCAAGGCCAGTGCGTGAAAGCTGGATGTGACCGTATCATCGGCTCCACCCGAAGATTTGATAAGTGTGGAGTGTGTGGCGGGGATGGCTCCACCTGCAGGAAGATGTCCGGCTCTCTAGAACGTTCCAGGTAAATATGCAACGCTGAAATGTTCTTACAGAGCTATGGTTTGTTTGGGATCTATTCATGCATTAACATAATTGTCAAATATAGAGAAGTTTCTTTGTAAGGGCCGTAAATACCATAAATTCATAGCTTTCTGAGAATCATAACTTACTAGTCAATCTCAGATGTAAACCCTTCCCTCAACAACCCAGAAACATTCTGACTGCATCTTTTAGTGACGTTCTGTCCATCATGTAAGAGCTAAGCTTAACCACTGTGTCTGTTTTTCAGGCCTGGTTACCAAGATGTTGTTACAATACCTGCTGGTGCCACCCACCTGGATGTTAAGCAACGTGCCCCTGGTAACGGTCGTCAGGATACCAGCCACCTGGCCGTGCGTCGCCAGGATGGAACCTACCTTTTAAATGGTAACTACAAACTGATGACCATGGAGACTGATATTGCCCTGCGTGGGGCACTGTTGCGCTACAGTGGCTCAGCTGCCAGCCTGGAGCGCCTTCGCAGCTTTGCCCCACTTCCTGAGCCCATTACCATCCAGGTGCTGTCTGTAGGAGTGGCCCCCAGGCCTCGTGTGAAGTATAGCTACTTTACCCCTAGACCCCACAATGGCGGTTCATCCAATAACAACAACGGGGGGCGCCGTCAGTCCATCAACGCTATCCGAGAGGTAGATGGAGCTGAGTGGACTCTGAGGGAGTGGGGGCCCTGCACCCAGACCTGTGGAGGAGGTGTACAGCAGAGAGAGGTGGTGTGTCTGGACCCTCAGGGTCGTCCCTCCAGAGATTGTCCAGAGGAGCTGCGTCCATTAGCCTCTCGCTCCTGCTCATCTCTGCCCTGCCCCTCCTGGTTCCTCGAAGAATGGTCCACATGCTCCAAGACCTGCGGTCGGGGCTTTCGCAGACGTCAGCTGCGCTGTATCGGTCATGACGGCCTCAATCTTAATCACAGCAGCTGTGACCCCAAAGTCAGGCCGCGACCCCTGCTGGAACTGTGCAATCAGGCAGCCTGTTGAGGACTCGCCCCTTAGAACTCTTAATCTTGGCTCATCCATCTGGCCTTGAGATGAAACATCAGACGTACCTCTGTTCGTCGCTTCTGAAAATGATCTAAAGAGATGAATGTTTACATCCAGAGCTGATTTAGGTTCCTGAAGGGAAGAAGAGTCAGGACTCTCAAGAACAATTGCAGCCCATTCCCTTTGTGCATCACCAGGAGCCGCAGAGGCACTGCCACAGAACTGCAGCAGCAAAGACTGAGCGCAGCTTTGCTGCCTTTCTGTCCTCAGCACATCACAATCCTGACTCTTACAGAAGCATGCTGCTTACCGTGCCAAGGTCATGCTTGTTCATGTGTGTGTGACTGTACGTATGAGGTGTTCGTTTTTTTGAGTGCATGTTAATTGTGTTTGTCCAAGCTGGGCTGGACAAACACCTTAAGGGATAGTTCAAGTTTTTCAAAACTATGTTTGTAAAACATGGGTGCAAGCACCAATGGAAGAAGAAAAAAAAAAATTTATAGACACTTTTTTTTTTTGTTTTAAATATATCTTATGTCTCAACCAGTCTTTCTCTCATGCCAAAGACCCTGGAAAAAATCAGGAGTTCTTAATTCAACACCACTTACCGAAGTGGGTTTAAACGTCTTTTTCTATGACACAAGGCCTTCATAAAGGTAATGTGGATTTATCTGAGTAACAAAACTCTTACCAAATCAGACGGGAAAAGCTCCAGTGAGCTAAAAACACTTTTTTGCTGGTGTGAGAGAAGAATCACCATGTCTGACAATTCCATGTTCTAAAGATAGTACACAAACAAAAGTCCTAGAACCAACAGCCCATTTCCCCAGAGAACTGCCTCTGCACCTGGTTGTCAGTTTCTCACACGACTACTTTTTGACAAACCTGAACTATCCCTTTAAGGGTCAGGATGTGGACGGTTGTTTTTAAGAATATATAGAAATAAATGAATGATTCTACTTGCTCACCCCATCAGGTATGGAAAATAAGATTAGCTCATTGTGTTTATTTTCAAAACTTTGCCAGTTATATATGAATATATATATATATATATAAATGTGTATGTGTATTTTTTTTTATTTATCATAAACCTGTAGCACTTCAGCCTTGTTTTTACCAGTGGCACATTTTTAACACCTAAACGTCTCTAGATGCCTCAGTACGTTGTCCTTCAGCCATATCTTGCCCCCCCCCACACAAAACCTTCAGTGAGGGAATTTTTTTAAGACCAAAGAATGGTGTATGTGTGTGTGTTTGAGTGTGTGTGGAGACCTACAGAGGGACTTGTCTCCTGCTACTACTTCATAAGTAAGTCTCTCCTGCCTTCTGCGAAGGCATCGTGTTGTTTTTTTTCTGCTTGTTTGTTTTCTATCCAGTTTTGTTTCTCTTTTTGTACAAAATACCTGTAATTTTATTTATTTTTGTACAGCCGGTTAAATATAATCATGTGGCTTTTTTAATATTATTTTTATTTGTTATTGAGATCACAGAAGGAAGTAGAATATATAGAGTATTTATACAGTGTTTTATATATATATGGTCCTAGGTTCATGAATAAAGTATCACATTGACTTGTGCATCTTGCATCTCTAGAGTGTTTTGTTCAATTTTGGTACATTCGCTGATATTAAAGAACAACAGCCTGAGTCTGTGTGGCCTTTAGGTGGTGCTGTGAAGCAGTCATTATATGCTTTTTTGTATGTGATATAAAAGGAGGGTACACAGGAATTTGTTTTTTGAAAAACAAACAAAAACATCCAAATACATGTATGTCATGTAAAGACCACTACATATGTATGGTGTGAAAATGCTGCCCTCTGCCTGCCAAGCTTTTTCTCTCCTTTGTGATCTGCAAGTATTTCAAGCGTAAATGTGGTTTTCTTTGAAAAATAACCCTAGTAGGTGGCAGTAATTCAATCCAAAGTTTGCAAAAGCTTCCTTTAAAAACCAGAGAAGAGGAATGTGGTTGGGTAAGGGATAGTATGATGTGACACATGAGGACCCAAACTACTGTATGTAAGTCATACATTTCTAACTGGTATTGTCTTTTGTTTTGCACAACACAGTTTTACAATAATGTGATGCAGTGATTTAGTTCTAATGTTAGAAGATGTGTAGTTTATGAACCCCAGCAGGGTGTAATTTAGGTTTGGTTTCCATGTTGTCATTGATGTACAAACATGGCTACCAGCCACATGTAACCAAATGTGATGGTTGACCGTTTTGATCCCCTACGACCACACTGGTGCCCTCTTCTGGTGACTACAGGATCTTAAATCTTTTAGACTTGTTTCGTGAGCATGGCAATGATCTTCCTGTCCGTTAAAACGCTCCACTGTTATATCTCAATCCAGTGTGGTGAGAAATCTTCCACAGCCACTGCATGACCCCTTCAGGTAATATAACTGTTCTGGCAGTGATCTGGCGACAGGGGGATTCTAGAGAGCCACCTGCTGGTTAGGGAGGTAACTTCCTTTCACGAATTTGCCAATTTGTGTCTGGGTGCCCATTATTTTCATGCCAGTGAAGATGCAGGAAAGAAGCCTTTTCACTGCCATTGGACATCCACTGTGGCCCGTCCTAAATAACCCCCAAATGCTGTAGACCCCCAACTTAGATTGTAAAAATATTGGAGACCTGTGGTTAAGCACTGCAGTAGTCAGAGCCTGAGGAGGACCATCTCCTGCCTCCTTGGCTCTTGTGTGGCACAAAGGAAATGATTATCTTGTAATTATAGACCGTTAAGAAGAAAATTGTCCCCCTTTATAATCTGCATAATTGCACACGCGGTTAGTCCATCTCAACTCCTTGTTTTTGACATGTTATGGCTTTTTTTTTTCAAAAACTGACAAAAACGTTATTTTTATTTTTTAATTTTTTTTATTTTTTAGTCATGAAATGAAATGTCAGCATCCATCTGTTACTTTTTTACCTGCTTGTTTATTCATGTCTTAGCATCACATCATTACAGCTTAGCAACAAAGCATCTGGAAGCCATTAAGGCCCATGGCTGCTCAGTGTGGGTGGCATTTAGCCCAGAGCAGAATTATGGTCATTCCACTATAAACCCCTAGATGTCTGCAGAAGTCTGAATAAATCATGTGAGTTTTAATCCAATTTCAGGAAATTGAATTATTTATTTACTGCTGATAATATGAACCGAATTGCTGGAATATAATTTGGCTATTTAATGATGACTTTTATAGTCGAGCATAAGTGGCGTTTGTCAGACTTAAGTATTTCCACCACCTAGGGTGGAGTAATTGTGCCAAAGTTAATTAAGCCTTTGTGTTACTGACGGCCTCATGACGATGCCATTCAACATTTTTCTGCTGCCTCTAGTTTAATGTAAAGAAATCTGCAGAAAAAAACATGATGGTGGAATGTTCAAGAAAAAGTGACCTTGAATAGAACTTATAATCAAATGAGAGAAAAGAAGAACTACTACATTTTATGTAATTTCTAGAAAAATGTCTTTCTTTGAGCCTTTTAAAAATATACAGTATATCAAACTTGTTTCTTCTCCATTTCCTTTCTTCTCTGAGGTTTGATTTGTCTCAGGTTCTTTCTCGGTCGCCCGTTTTCTGACATCATCCTAACTTTTTATTCACTGAGTGTCTGTGGGATTATGATGTTTTCTGGCCATTTAAGACTTGTTTTTAGATTAAAAAAATAGCTAATTGCATCATACTTTTCTGCATTCATAGACACCATCACTTTAAACCAGACTGCAAAAAACACTGTTGTAAACTATCACAGGGTCTACTTTATGGTCATACTGTAGTGACTATTACAACCAGTCATTAATGTATTTTAGTCAAGCCTGTGATAGTGATTAAACCAATATTTCAACCTGGGCCTAATTCTTCCTTATTTAGCAGCATTCCTTCACATAATGTCATCTCCAACAAGATCCATTGTTTAAGAACATCAAACCATTGATATATTTAACAATTATATTATAAATGCACCTTTTCTTTTACAGTTAATAGAAATAAATTAACCACCATTTTGCTATCTAGTCTCTAGCATATTCAAATTTAAAGTTAAATTCAGAGTATTGACAAGGGGAGGGGGGTTGCAAGTTAGAAATTGTGACTGTGTTCAGGAGTGCACCCAAAATATTTATAATATATGTCCTCCTCTCTCTTCTTTACTTTTCCTGGTTTTTCTATGGCCCTTTTGAATAAACTCACACCATAAATAGATATGGTGTTCTGATAAAAAGAAAACACCATTTCTTATGTGGTCAGCAGCTAAGTCAGAGGTCAAGGGACAAAGAAGGAGGCAGATGTGCTGGGGGTGCCCGCTATACTTGGGTGGCCCTGCCCACCCCTTCAGAGGCGCCCCTGCAGCAATTAGGAGAAAAACAACAAAATGTGGACACAGAAATATTCCACATTTACACTTTGATGCTGTCATTATTTTTAAACTTCAACATTTTTGATGTCTGTTGTTATTAAATGGTCTCTGTAGCGCTTTGGTGATCTTTTTGGATAAGGAAAAAAACATTTACGTACATTATTATTATTATTTAATTAACCTTATTTTGAAGTGACATGGATTTTTGAGAGATTAAAGAGGGGGCGGTGTGGAGGAGGAGCAGAGACTCCCAGCCAGTAGGAGGTGGTTGGACACACACACACACACACAGAGAGAGAGAGAGAGAGAGAGAGAGAGAGACAGAAGCTCTCACACGTGGAGGATCAAACTCTGTTCCACTTCAGGAGAAACTTCATCTGCTGCTGCCTTCTTTCCTGAGTGGGGACACACGTGACAGTTATGCTGCCTGGAGGAGCAAATAGGTGATTGTTAGTGCTGGTCGTGCAGCTGGAGCCACTGCTGCCGCTGGAGCAGGGACGACGAGCTTCGGCTGAGGACCCAGACCTTGATGGAAAACCTGTGGAGGAGGACGCAGGCGGGGAGGTGGTTGGAAAACTCGCTGCTGCTGTGTTTATTCAGCGGTAAGTCCTTGTATCAACAGGGTTCTCCGTGAGACAGAGTTTCTTGTCATTTCCACCCAATCGCAGTTTTACGTTTGCATTTAACAGCCGGGGTTTTCCGTGCGTTTTAGGTGTGACTCGTTTCTTCCAGACTCTGGAAGTCACTGATGGAGAGCTGGAGCAAATGTTACGTGTTTAGTTAAAAAAAAAGAAAAGTGGCGGGATTTAAATGAACCATTTTACGCATGGCCTTTGAGAAGAGTTAGACGAAACGCAAAGAACTGTTGGAAACTTTTTTGTCTGGATAAAGTCTGTGTACTGGAATCAGTTAAAGGTGGTTGTGTACGTCTCTTTCTCTCTCTCTCTCTGTGCGTGCGTGCGCGCGCGCGCGTGAGAGAGAGAGGGTGTGTGTGTTGGGGGTTGTTTAAGGACATGGTGCCATTGTCTCCCAACGTGTGGAGAGACGGGAGCCAGGTCCTCCAGAGGACCACCCACCCAGTCAGACACACAGCCAGCTGATAGGACCTCCCTCGAGTCATTAACACGGGGATCTCTTCAGTTTGTAGACAGGAATGTGTGGAGTTTAATCCAAATCTGAAAAAAACACCACTGAGTCCTGAAGGCATCATCCTGCAGAAAGTTTTCCATTCACTTGCATTAAGGATTTATCAGGTTCTGACGTATTGTCAGAAATACATTTAAGTAACATGACAAAAGTTAAGCACATTTATTGTCTTTTTTTAAAACCTTTTGATGATTCTTCTTATGGGAAGATAAACTTTTTCGTTTTTCTTGACCAAAGCCTATTGAGAATGGCTCATAGGAGTGGTTCTACCCCAATGTCCTAAATAAAATGTTGACTTGTGTTGTTTTTGTAGTTAAAGTATTTTAGTTCAGAGGTAGAATCCAGTTACGTGGAGCAGTATTTTATCAACAACTCCTGTGTTTTTGTGAGCTAAAAATGCTAATATTCCCCATAGACTTTGATATAAACGAGTTAGTTCATTAAAGTGATACTCAGGGAAATACTTTTTTACACTAACATCAACTCCGTTGCCATAGAATTAATGAAACCGACATTAAAAATTATTGGAGTCATTGTTTATGTGTGCCTTTTTTGCCACATCTGGTTCTCACAGATGGTGGCGCTATCAGCACAGTCACTACCTCCCACAGACTGAACTTAAATCAACCCGATCTCTCCCCTTTTCATGTGTTTCCCCTGCTTCGTTCAAAAGCACTGTAAAAACAAACAGCTCTGCCTGTCTGTGTACCCGTCTCAACCTGCTGCTGCTGCTGCTGCTGCCGCTGCCGCTGCTGCCGCCTCC